CGCCGCCGCCGCCGCCCGCTCGCCGCTATTTCAACCCTGCCGGCGGCGCCTCGCAACTTTGCCCGGCCGCGCTCCGAGTAGGAGCCGCGCGAGCGTTTCCACGACGTGTCTGTTTGCGTTCATCTGGGGGGATAAGAAAACCCCACTCCTAAAACAAACCCAAGCCTCGCTGGAGCTAAAGAAGCACGGGTTTTGTTCGGGGGGTTATTCACTGCTGCAGAGCGGCAGCGGTCTCTTCACGCTTTGCAACACACCACAAGGGGAGGATTACTTTATGCGAGGGGAGTTTTTAGCGAGGGAAATAGTTGGGGTAGGCCACTCACAGCAGCTCCTTCCCCATCGCTTGAAACCCACCCGAAAGGGGGAGGGAGGTCACGTCAGCCTTTTGAAGCACGAGATCACTTTTTTGAATTCAGGTGCGACCCAGGATCTACTTCAAAGAAAATGTAGAAATGACCGTTTTTTGAGACTGAGATCGACTGTCAGGCTCCGGGATCAACCAGTTGGTCCTATCTGGCTGGCGACTGCTGCTTTCCCTGTTAGTTTTACCCCAGCTCCTTCACTCATCCTAGGCACTGCAGCAAGGGATTTTTAAATTTATTTATTTTTTGGTGGTTGGTTTGGTTTTTTGTTCCGGGCAGGGTTTTCCCCGAAGGCTTTCTGGTTCAGGGACAGAGTGGAAAAACACTGTGAAAGAATTTACCCGAGGTTTAAAATAATAAAAAAAAAGAAGTCATTCTCCAAACCAGCTTCCAGACTGGATATTATAGCGACACAGAAGCAATAAGGATAGGGGTAAGGTATTTTACTGTTAAACTTTTCATTTAGAATTATACTTTTTCATTCAGAAATGCAGTCTGGTTTCAGAAGGGGTCTTCCTCCCCCACAACTTTAGGCCTTTTTTTTTTTAAAAAAAAGGGGGAAGGAGCATCTGAAGAAAATCAGTTCCTAGTAGATTCATACTGAAATAGATGTTGCATTTATTTTAGTCCTTAGATAGGGATAACTAAAATTGATTTTTAGTGTCCTCAGACTTAGCAAAAATAGCCTGCAAACCCTCGGAAGTTAATTAAATAAATAAATAAATAACTTGGTGAATTTTGGATCAGACCCTCCAACAAGCCAGACATCAGGATCTGGCACAGTGCTTCCCGGGCCTCGAGGGAGTTGCTCTCAATGTGCACTAGTGTAAGTGATGGCACAGATTTGGTTCAGGGCTCGCACTGCACAAAGATATCCAGTCTCATAGCAACAAGGGATTCCAGAGGATTTCCCATTTGGGAGGAAAGAGGTACTTGGCGATATTGCATGCTGTACTAAATATGGTTCGGCCTGTTTCTTTTCTGTTTCCCACAGAGCTTCTAAATGTATTTTCTAAACACCTTTCAGACAGGGTGAGCTTGCTCAAAAACAGCCTTCTTAACTTTTTAACTTGTCACTTACATAGAGGCTTACAAGATTTTAGAGCTAACAGAAATAACCAATGTAGCCTTATACAAATAAATCCTGCTTACAGACCTTTCCCTATGCCAGTTTGTCAGAGGTAGCAGATAGGCAAGATTCTGCCCCCTTGCCAGCAGAGTAAGCCATGCAATCTGTTCCCTAGCTCCATGGGTCCCGAGGGATCTGTAGGAAGTCAATGCCACTTGAGTAGCAGTCTCAAGTCTTTGCTGTAGTTTGGGGCCTGTGTATCCTTCCGCAGTACAGATGCAAAGCAGCCACATGTTGCTTAGATAATGTCTCCACAGGTCTGCCACCAGGGACCACATCTTAAGGCTGCATATTCTTTTCCACTTAAACATCAATGATTATGTGCACCCATTCATCTACACAGGTGAGGGAAGGAAACATCTCTACATATTCCACTTCATAGAATTCATTTGTATTTCACCTCTGCAGGAAGTGGGAGAGCCCTATGCCAGGGGTATTGTCCAAGGACAGTGTAACACCTGGGTCTTACCAAGGCCAGTCAGATGTTGACCCACCCACCTGTTTCTGGGCTAACCACCCACCCCTCTCATCTGCCATGCTTTGTTGATACAAAATTATGGTGTTAATTAGGCAGGAAGCTGCTCATTTCCCCACTCCAATGCCAGGGGGAGCCATCGGTGGCTCCGTTCCTCCCCTACACCGCAGCCCAAGCCTCGCAAGTGTTCCCTGCAGCTAGCTAGCACTGGGACCCGAGCTCCAGAGTCTCACTGGGACTCACTCCCCACTGGAGCTCCTGGTCCCAGCACCCTCACACCTGGTTTATTCAGCACACACACAAACAACATATACCGGGTCCCGTACTCTCACACTGCGCTCCAAGGCTGCACATACACTCTCAGGCCTCTGAGCCTTGTCCCCAAGCCCTCCCTGGCCCCAGGAACTTCCTTAATAGCTCCCCAAGACTCAAGGCCCCACCCCCTGGAGCTTCATGCTGGCTCCTATATGCAGCCTCAGACCTCCACCATGGAGTCTGGACACTGCCACAGGTCCCTTCACCAACCTCTGCCCTGCCTCAGTGCTCTGCAGTGAGCCTGGGCCCCCCTTGCTCAGTCTCACCCACCAGGGATGTGGGACCTGGGGTTATTAAGGCACCCTGACCCACCTTTCACTGGGTGGTAACTGGTCTGGTATTTCCGGGGGGCTCCCACGCCACTGCAAGGTGCAGTTCTAGGTCATGCCCAGGACCAAGAGCCTCCTAGCCATCCCCATAAGCTCTTGCCCTTACCTCCAGAGTTGTTCCTGCTGCAGCTCAGCTAGGGATGTTTCTGCCTAGCCTGGTAGTGGCAAAACTGCAGCCTTTATATACAAGGTTCTCAAAATGGCTGCTGCCATCAGGCACCTGGTAGCTGCCTGACTGCCCTTAAAATGGCAGGCACCAACAGTGCCCTGCCACAATGGGCAGATCCAGTGAACACTTCTCCAGTAGTTGGCACAAATCTGAATGTGTGTTCAAGATGTAGGCTTTGTCTAGCCCTTTTAAGGATGCTCAGTGAGAGGGAAACTGTACATTTCAATGACTTGCGTTTTAGAAACACAAAACAGTTGTGTCTGTCTTATGCAGAAAACACCCTTCCAATTTAGTACTACAGGGGTGCTGGTACACGTCAGGGGGCTTAGTCCTTAGGGTTGCATTCTATGCCCCCTAAATTGAAACGGTGGGTTTTAAAATGAAACCCACCATTTCAAGTTAGGGGTTTCCGTTACAGTTATGGCAAGGGTCCCAATTCATATATATATATTTTTTTTTTCTTGGCAGAGCCTGCCTGTGGAACAGGGTTGCTGCTGGCAGGCTAAGCTGCCCCTGAGCTGCAAGGGGCCCTAGTCCTTCCCTTGGTAGTGGCAGTGCACCCCACGGCCACCTGGGTGGGCTCGTAGCGGGCTGGGTGCTGCCCCAGCTTGGAGGTAGCACCCAGCCTGATCCAGCTCTGCCCCGGCCCCGAGCTAGGGCAGCATCTGGTCTGCTAGTAGCCCCGGGGACTGCTGCTGTTGTGGAAGTTAGGACCAGGGCCCCCGTAGCTCAGGGGCCACTCAGCCTGCCAGCAACTCATCCCATAGCTGTGGGAGAGGCAGGCAGCCTCCGCCAAAAAATAAATAAATAAATAAAAATAAAAAAAAGCAATTGGACCCCTCACCACTTTTGTCTACAGCCAGGGCTTGCTAAAAGCAGAAGTGGTGAGGGGCCTGATCCTTTCTTTCTGCAGAGCCTGCCTGCCTCTCCCACACCAAAGGGGTGAGCTGACAAATAGCTCCAATGCATTGTTGCAAACTAAACTACATCAGGAAGTAGTTTAGTTTACAATGATGAAACTCATTTTAAACCCCAGAATGCCTACACATGTACAGCATGATGCCATTAAGCCACACAAAGTGGCATTTTTGTCACATGTACACGGTAATGACATCACGTGTACAAGCGCCCCAGAGCTATAAAACCACCTGCAAGAACTCAATAGCAAAGATAGAAGCCACTGTTCAATTCTAGAGGTTTTAAAGTGTTTTTAAATGGAAGACTATTCACTTATTTCCTGTGAAAAAGTCTTATCAAATGTAATACAGTTTCCCTGGTGACAGAGGAGCAGTAGCCATTACTGCAGCCACCCTCCCACCTGCCAAATTCCCAAACCCTAAACCCTGAACACCCAGTTGGGGGTGGGCATGCCCCTTTCCCCCCTGCATCTGATTTGGGGGTGCGCCGTGCCACCTTTCCCCCTGTGTTTGGATTGTGACAGGTCCATGCCCCCTTCACCCCAGGGATGTGGTTGGGGCTGGGCCACACCACCTCCTGCCCCACCCCCAGCCAGGTCACTCTCCCTTCCCCTGCAGGGCCAGATTGGGGCTGGGCTCCCACCTCTTTTCCCCTTCACGTGCCTGGATGGTGCCCGCCACGCCCGCCTCTGCTGCCAGATTGGGGCCATCAGCTGGATCTGGCCTGTGGATGGCCTTGGTACTGCCCATCTGGCCTGTTGGACAAGAAGGTTGAGCACTCCTGCGCTAGTTCATGATCATTTGAAGATGTCTCCTTTTCTTGTCTATAATCAAGTCCTTAGCAATTTTAACTGTGTCAAATGTCACTGAGGAAACAACATGTTTCTTATACGGTTCATGCAATATAGGCCAGATTTATGCCTGTCCTAACACTGCTTATTTTGATGCAATTACACCAGAGATGATGTTAGCCCTATATTCAT